TCTCATTTCCCTTTATACCCTGCTATATATTTCCTTCTTTATAAGCTTTAAAGGCCATTCCTATAGGGTTTGCCTGCTTCGGGCGTTCTCATCATCTCAATTTTAGGCTTTGTGAGATTTTGTGGGACCACTGCCAACTGTTCTAAAATTTTAAGCTTTTAAATGAATGCGTAATTTAATATTTAATTAGTCTAACACTCCCCTTCACGCTTAGTTGAGTCTTTTTGACTAGTATTAAGCATGGACATATTTAATTGGAGAGACAAATAGGGCATGGAAAGATTTGGACTCAGGACCTCCAGCTCTGATACCATATGAGATTTTATAGGACCATTGCCAACTGTTCTAAAAGCTTAAGCTATTAGATGAATGCGTGGTTTAATATTTAATTATTCTAACATGCTCCATTTATTTCGCGAAAAATAAGACAATTCTTGAAAATATTTTTCTGAAAATCATTTTCTAGAAAAATGACAATATTTTCCGGTGTTTGGCTAAAATCTGAAAATGAATAGGAAAATATTTTTCGCTTTTTGGTATGCAAAACTTGATTTGATTTTCCTAGGGAAAATTACCAAAAAACTCAAATTTTTATTTATTTATTTATTTTCTTTCTTTTTCTTTTTTCCTTCTTCCTCGACCAATTGCCGGCCATGGCGACAGCCAGCCACAGGCATGGGACGAGCTTGCCCCAAGCTGGCAAGGCTTGACCTCACTAGATTTCGGCGAGGAAATCACCTCTCACAAGACTCTTCCCTCTCCTAATCCCCAACTCGTCGCCACCCCCTCCCTCAGCGATTTGGAATGTGCCATCCTCGAACACCGGCATCTCCTCCTTGCTCCTCCCTAATACATCCTCTAACCTTTCCCCTCCCACCGCCATCCGAATCCTCTCCGCAAACATCCTCAGCTGCCCTCCCTCGCAGATGGAGCTCGCGAGCGTCTCGCTATGGAAGCACTAGAACCATCCTCCCCTTTGCCGTCGATGGTAGAGAGGAGGTCGAGGCGGCGAGTGAAGCCGTTGCCGAAGAAGGCCTCTTAGGAGTGAGGCCGGACGCTAGGGTTTTGGGACCAAGGGAGGTAGGAGGGGAGGATCAGCCATCTTTTTAGAGAATCGAAGTTGCTGTCGCGGTGTTGCTTGGTGAGTTTAGGGATGGAGCTGGTCGGGTTGTCGTCATGGATTTGTGATGAAGAAGCTTCATGGGTTCGCTTCGTGGAAGGGCAGAAGTAGAGAGAGAGAAAGAGAGAGAGAGAGAGTTGAGGGCGAAAGAAAGAGAAGGGAAAATGGTTTCCTCTCTTCGAAAAAAAAAATCATTTTTCCTACTTTTGAATATGCTATTTTCATTGACCAAAAATATTTTTTTTGACTAGTTTATATTCTGTAAACCAAACGTTAGAAAATTCGAAAAACTTTTTCCTAAAATTTATTTTACGTGAATTAAACGGCGCCTTAATCTATGAATATATTCCTCATCGTACTCAAATAGTTGAAAATTAAGTTTTAAGACAGTTGCACACTTGAAATGAGGAGGGGAACCTACCCAGAAAGAGGTGAAAAAAGAAAAGTGAATTTTATAATATATATTGCTAATCATGTATAACTAAAGGGGAGGTTTTGAACCGTTGGAATTGGAAGTATATAATCATCATTATGTTCCCGGAGTCACATTTCGTGAAGTAAAAAATCATAGGAACTCTTTAATTTTTTTTATTTATTTCATTTTTGTTTTTTCCAGAAGGAATCTTGAATGGACTTGATATAAAGTGCATCCATCAAGAGCAGTGGGAGCATAGTACATTGCTACTTGATGCACGGACAGTATGGAGAGCCTCACCTTTTCACTCCTGTAGCACTTTTTTTTATCTCTGAGTTTCTATCACATTGACCGGCAGTCAAAATGTGGCCAAAAAATAAAACCCATTTCAAAAAAGATGAGCAATGTCGGGTTGACGAACACTGTGCTGCTCGACCTTTAAATTAGTGAACCACATTCAACAATCAATATCGATTTGACAAATTAATTGGTAAACTTGTCTTTGTGTACAAACCTTGTAAAATATGTCATTTTTGGAGAAGCGAAAACAACATGGACTATACACGACAACATTAGGGCTTAATCAAGGCCAGCTTGTCTCTATCAAATTTTAGGTTAACAAACATTTAAATCCTACAATACTCCTTCATATGGATAAGTTAAGATTTGATTTGAGACAAACCGATGGAAAATTATTTTGAGAACGCGATTGACGGGTCCAAAGAAATTCTAATGCCGAACGCCGTGTCTTTGATACCATGTAGAGTTTGTGAAATCACATCGCCAACTTACCAAAAATGTTAGCTGTTATACATGAATGCATAGATTATATGTTTATATGCTCTAGCAATACCATGGCAAATTCGACACTCTTACAATTCAAAATTGTAACTAATTACTCTATTACCAACTGATCACACCTGTCTAGATGATTTTATAGTGACATCGGGGAATTTTTTCTTCGGTTGAGAAAACTTGAAGGTGAGTTTAATTACTCCCGAGAACAAAACCTAGGAATACGTATGCGATGACTCTAAAAAAAGTGCACATCATGCAGGCCATGTACAAATCTTAATTAAAGCTTCTCTAATTAACTTTCGGTATCCTTTACTCAAACGGACAGAAAATTTGAAATAAAAAAACAATGAAAGTCATCGGACCGTCTCTTTCGAATGGAACAATCTCGGATTTAGCCTCAATTTAGTACAAGGTGCGAATCGATGGTAATGAACCTCAAGAAGAAAATTCAACCACGCTACGCAAAGTACCATCAATTTAGTAGGACACGCCTAGGTCCATCGATGATCATCATCAACTTGTGCTATATCTTATTTCGATGACTATTCAATCGATCTCAATCGCACGACTGGGCCACAAGATTCTCTCTTGTGATGAGACAAGTTTTCTTGTTATCGCGGCGTTTGAATTTTTCATTTTCTTCTTGGTTAAAAGACTAACCCGATCTGGAAACATGACCTACAAACCCTAAAAACCTCAGTTTGACAAAGAAGAGCCTTGTCTTTCATTCAACTGGAAAACGACTGCGAAAAGCAATTTTTTTCTCTTCTGAAGATGACGAGACTATGGTTAGGTTTAACGTAGACATGTCACAGGGAAAAAAGACAACCATAACACTGCATCCACGCCGATTTCGTAGTTAGGTCTTGGTTTTTTTCATCCTCTTCATTCATTGAGGATATGCTCATTATATGAATAACTTTTTTCTCTACCAAGGATGACTAGTTGTTGAATGGATCAATCTCTCACTTCGTGAACGAGACTTACTGAATTCAAGCGGTCTTGATACGGTCCATATTTAACATGTATCGAATTCACGAGGGTTCCTCGACCGACCGACGACCCACATCATCACTATCAATTAACTACATGGCTAGAATGTAAGAACAATGGCAAAATGAATAGCTACAGTTTAGGGGGCCAAAAGTTAAGTTGTGCTAAGTTGCCCTAAGGAAACTTTTTCTTTGAGGTGCACTCGAATTCATAAACAGTCTCGCAATGAGTTCTTTGAGGCTTTTCTGTGTAGTGCAATGCTAGTTATCCTGAAAAGCATGCGCAACAATTTCTGACTGGTGTATATAGTAAAATTTCATTAGGTGGTAAAGGACTTTGAAGCCGAGAATGCTGGCATTTTTTGGCTGCAATAATTGAAGCTAGCTGATTTAGTTCCGGCCAAAAGAAGAGATAGCTGGTTCAAAAAACAGTGATATGCCTCTGTAGAGCAAGCATGTTCATTGATTTTTTGCTCATACTTTTCGTACCCATCTCAATAATAATTGGAACGCTTCTGGCTTACAAGTAGCTTCAACGCCGACCGCCGACGTGTGGTGGGATGAGCTCTTCAAGTGAGAGATCATTTAGTCGAGTTTATGTCGGAATCGAGCGGCAACCACCTATGCAAATTCCTTGTCGAACTCTCCTCTTTTATATATTCAGTATATGCTACTATATAATATATATATATATTCTAATTTAAATACATATATGTTTGTTTCATGAAAATTTTATGTTGAATGATATGTATACACGAATTTTTTTTAATTAAATGGTTGGTTTTCCCTCATTTAGTAGTGAGTATTAATTGACCAGAAAATAAACTTTTTATGTGTTTGGATTTTTCATCTAAATTCCTTCGATATAGTTTCTTTAACAAATCCGGAAAGGAAATCATGAAAAACATAGGAAAAAGTTAGAACAACCTCTCTTTTCTCTCTCAGAAAACCAAATAGAGTCTGAAATGATCAAATATTGTAAGCGACTAATCAGTATCTATCCTCGTGATCATTTGTTCCTTGTCACCATCGACACCACCTATCACCACCGCTTCTAATGTCAAGGCCGCTTCCGATGTCACTACCAATTACGATGGGGCAGCTTTAACCTTTATTGCTAACACTTGAAGTATGACCATGTCACCGTCCTTCTTTCTATTCGTGGAGCGTATGAGTACGATATCATAGATACAAGTACATTGACCTCATATTAGGTCAAAGGCCTCATTGGGGGACTCGGGTCGGCGATGGTGGCCGGGGCATTGGTGGCCATGGAAGCATGGCTAGGTATTCGGCAAAGTGGGTACTGCGAGAGCAGTTACAACTGAATAAATCCGAGAAAGGGAAGATCACATGCTTTCTGTTGAAATCTTTTATGACGATCATATATATGAATGTTTCGACGGAAACGGTTCCTTGCGAAACAAGCGAACCATAGATCTCCGGACCAATTGAATTTCGAAATGCCTACAGGTGTCTTTGTATCAATGTTAGGTGTATGTTGGACCAGCCTATGAAATTCGAATACCAAGAGAGCCAAGTAGTCCCCAATAACGTCGCTATTGATATACTAAGTCCATGGCCATTCTCGACGATGCCCGCCAGACTATTTCATGTGCGTATTATCCACATTTGAGCATCCGTTTCATAAGAATACTGAATTCGCACGGTCCGAGGCAGGCCGAGGATTTTTCCTCCATTCAGCGCACTCGACTGTTCATCCCCCACTTTTCTCTCTCGCCCCCCTTCCCCTCACCTCACATGCTCCCGATTGTCTCCTTCTGCAACTTTTTTCAACGCAGACAGAGAGAGAGAGAAAGAGTCTGGAGTGGGCAATAAATGGGAGAGAGAGGGCGAGCGAAGAAGAGTGGGGCTGCGAGATGAGTCGCCATGGCGGCGTTTGCAGGCTGTAATTCCGTGCCATAATTGCATCGATCCCCTCCCCTCCTCCTGCTTCTCCTTCTCCTTCTTCCTTCTTCTTCTGCTCTCTCTCTCTCTCTCTATCTCTCTAAAGTCAAATTCTTTAAAAAACCCTTCCCATGTCCCAATAGGGGCCATCACTCGCCCAAAAAGCTGCAACAGCAAAAAGCGCTCCCAGCCTCAACAACAACACCAACAACCACAACAAGATCGATCCCACAGCAAACCAGCGAAGCGAAACCTAGACCAAGCTAAACAACAACCTAAGATACTTCATCAGATCATCACTGTTGTCTAGTCTTCACGGACTGAAGCACACCCATTTAATAACCCTTCCTCTCTCTCTCCCTCCCTCTCTCTCCCTCTGTGAGTGTGTATGTCATGGATCAGCTCTCACTTTTGAGGGCATCATCATCGCTCTCAGCTTCTGTCGTCGCCCATACGTGCAAGAAATGGCTGGGGTTTTCTATTTAAGCCAGCTAGCCCACCCATCAGCTGGCCAGGATCAAGAACCGGTGGAGGATACGAACACCCTCTTGCACAGACCGTCCAACCACCATCAGGAGGCGGAGGAGGAGGAGATCTTGCAGCTATGGCCACAGAGCCAGTGGTATCATCCCCACCACCACCACCACCATCAGGGTCATCAAAGCACGGACGGCTACTTTTCGCTTGGAGCAGGCCCTAGTTCGCGATCTCCGGAGCTACTGACGGTGATGATGAGACCCGGAGGAGGAGGAGGAGGAGGAGGAGGTATAAATTGCCAAGACTGCGGGAACCAAGCCAAGAAAGACTGTGCCCACTTGAGGTGCAGGACTTGCTGCAAGAGCCGAGGGTTCGAATGCCCCACCCATGTCAAGAGCACGTGGGTCCCCGCGGCCAAGCGCCGCGAGCGGCAGCAGCAGCTCGCCACCGCCGCCGTCATGCACCACCACCACCAGCAGCCGTTGCGGCAAGAGCAGCCGTTTCAGCTCGACCATTATACCATGAGGCAGAGAGAGGGCGACGTCGGTGCCGCCCCGCCGTTCCCCACCGCTGCCTCGGGTAATACTATTAGTCTCGAGGTGGAAACAGAGATTTTGTGGGATCTTTTCCACCAGCAAGAGCTCGTGAATTTTTTTATCTTTTATTTTTTGCAATTTGAAACAATTTGTGATCTGTGGACATATACACGTTCTGCACAAGCATTATCCGAGTTCTTGTTAGATAATATGCACATCAGGAAGCATTGCAACCGATACCAGGGAAATAAAACTTTAAGTATTGATCTTGCAGTATGTTCAATGCTCATTTCAGATTTGCTGATCAAGGAAGATATTACACCATGCTTTATTTAAGGATTTTGGGGATTAGATCTTGGGAGGATCCATGAAGAAATTAAACTTCCAGTTATGTTTGATGGTAAAAGAATAAAAGATAAAAAGTTTCTTGGTGTTTGAAGAATTTTGAGACTTTTTAGCTTTACTTTGTGTTCATCATATAACCCTACTTGCATGTGAACCTGTGGAATCATTGTTCTCAGCTTCTACAACTGTTTGCTGGTAAAACTTACGATAAAAGTTCGAATAATGATCATAGTGATCGAGTCTTGTTCTTATTATGATTGATCCGGCAAATTTCTAACTATGACACTATGCTTGTATGTGTGTGATAATTAGGGTTGGAAGTGGGACAGGCGTTCCCTCCAGAAATCAATTCATCCGCTGTTTTCCGATGCGTAAGAGTGAGCGCAATGGATGACACTGACGAGGAGTTCGCGTACCAAACGGCTGTCAATATTGGAGGGCATGTTTTTAGGGGGGTTCTCTATGATCAAGGGCCCGAGAGCCGCTTCGGTTCGGTGGGTGAGAGTTCTTCCGGTGGTGGCGGTGGAGCTCACCAACCTCTCAATCTGATAACCGCCGCACCAGGCTCCACCGCCGCTACCGCCACAGCCTCCGCTGCCACCAGCAACCTAGCCACTGCATTGCTGGACCCTTCGATGTATGCAACTCCGCTCAACGCTTTCATGGCCGGCACGCAATTCTTCCCTCCCCCAAGGTAATTATCAAAACGTTCCATCCCTCAGTGTTATCGACCATTTTTCCATCCAAAAGTTTCAAGATTTTAGATGCATTGACGATGAAAATTGAGGAACTCGACGCGGCATCGAAGCTTTTACCTAAGAGTTTGAACTTGATTAGACGATGAAAACTTCTCAAAATTCAAGAATAATTTTCGAAATCCGATTGTTATATCACGCACTTGTCTTTGTCCGGACTCCATTGTATCCTTCTTAGTTTAAGCAGCTTCAAGTTTGACTTTCTAGTAGTGTAATGTCCTCATTTCATGTTTTAATTATGGATGATGATCCAATTTTTCTTTGCCTAAAGCGCCTTTAATTTACCACTAATTCGTTCCATTGGTATCGAAAGCCGTCGGTGCATTAGATATATATTATTGCATCTTTATGGTCAATTTTTCCTTTCGTGGGTAATCGATAATTAAGTTTTTGCTTTCTGGTTGGTGTTGAACTCGAAGCCACTTTATCCCAGCTTCTCCGTTCATTTGCCGGATGAGATTGAGATGTGCAATGTCAGGTCTTGTACGCAATAAATTCAAATTCTTTCTCTCATTCTTCGATTAAAGTCCTTGTTAATTAGATTAAAGTCCTTGTTAATTAGGTGATAATTAAAAAATCATGTGTCCAACCATTAACCTCTCTCTCTCTCTCTCTCTCTCTCAAATGTGAATTGGATGCATGTTGGCATGTTAAATTGGAATCAGAGGAATAGGGCTGAGAGAGAGAGAGGAGAAGAGCCACAAGGGTAGGGATCTTAATGGCTCCTTCCTAGATTGCCACATTTAGAACGCTGATAGATACGTGAAGGCTGTGGAAATCGATCCTTAACGCTGCAATGTCTGTGTCAACACATTTACTTTCGAACCTCAAACCGATGAAGACATCGCGCTTTAGTATAACCAACTCGCTTTCTTTGTACTTATTTCCCTTGTGCTAACATCGGAAGCCGGACATCGTTTTGCCGTTCCTGAAAAATCTGATGTTGTTTCCGATGTTATATATATTCGATGTTTGTTTGATTTTCTTTGGCTCTTCTTGTTTGATTGTGGGAGAAAATATTTGGGAGTCTATCCTTTGTGCGTGCATTTGTCAGAGCTTGCCCTAGCCGCTGCACCGGGGAATGGCCGGCGGCAGCGGCGGCGGCAGCGTATGGATCGGTGCGGATGTGGGGGATTGCAGTAGAAGGCAAAGAGAGAAGAAAGCAAAGGAGTTAGGATTTGAGGTCGTTTTTATAGATGGTAAATTTCTTTAGACCGGTTGGTTTTTCCTGAACCTTAAGCTATTAGGGAAGGTGTCATTAATATTTTCATGCCACGTCTCTTTATTAGCACTCCCTCCGGTGCGAACGCAGGTCCTCCTCACCTCCACGACACAAGATGTGGATGTCATCACGTTAGACAGATTAATGAGTATAGTTAACTATGCTGAATAATGCGAATGATGGACGAGAAAGATGAGAGGACATGTCAAGATCTGAACCCTTTTAAACCGTGTTGCACTGCAATACCATGTTAGGTAAACCATTTTCCCAAAAAAACTTAAACCATTAGGAAACGCGCCATAAATACCAACAACAACATTGCCCATCTCTCTCTCTCTCTGTGCGCGCAGGCACGCGCGCCAGTGCGTGCATGCGTGTGCTCATAGCTAGCCTCATCCTCAGTGTTGACACATAGAGAGAACAGGTCGACAAGGGCCAACAAGCTGTGCCTACTTGAGCAACTCCAAAATTCTCAAGCTAGATCTAGACTGCATCGTTTATCAACGATGACCTGGGACAAACCCAAGAGAGAAAGGTTTAGAGAGTTATAGCTCCAGGTTTGGTGGGGATGTTCACCGGAGGCAAGTGTGATACCCCGACGGCGTACATCTGATGGGAGGGAGTAATGACGGCTTGATCCATGCATTTGACCTACCCTAAACCTTGACCACCTGGACGGATCACTATCCATTTAATTACTTCTTTTAGGGGAACTTGGTCAATAGAAATCGGTGGACTCGTTACAAATAGCATTAGAACAATACATCAACATAAGTGTCGATATTAGCTAACTATCGTGCCAAACAAAGTGCCGCGTCATGCGATCCATATCGGGAGCCCGTTTGAGATGAACGGCGGCAGCGGTCACCTCTAGAGTTCTACTAGCATGGTGCACTCTTGGACTATAGGGCTGACATCGATGCGGAAGTCAGTGCTTTTAAGTGTAGGAGTTTGCGACGCCCCAACTAACACATGAGATAGAAGAGGACTTCTGGGTTATGATGTCTTTTGATTGCATTTATTTGTGCCCTAGTGTTTTGGAGGGTTAGGATTGGAACTTCATTTTTTATTTACTTTATTTATGTTAAATTTACCAGTGGTATGTATTTACGCACGTAATCCACCGATTAAAGAGTGAGGAAGAAATTATTTTCTAATCACGATTGGGCGAAAACACAGTTCAATTCTAGCTCGTTGCCCACCGTAACTTTGTTAGGATAATTATTATTTGGGGAAATGACATAAATGATTTTTGAACTTTGGTACAATGTGTAATGTAGTCCATGGACTTTTAATTTATTCAATGTGGTTCCCAACCGAACAAAATATGTTAATAATTTCTACGAATAGTATGGTAACCAATTGTACTTTTAGCTACAAGTTTAACCTGTACAGTGACTAAATAATATGAAACTTCTTCTCTTACTTCAAATCTGATGAGCAAGGCAATGGAGTATATCTTTGCATGTAGTCCTGATTTCCATTTATCAGCCAACAACAACGAGCTTGATCTATATACACATTTTTTTATATTATCAAACTAAGATCTATTCATTTTCTTCATTCATCGTTGATTAGAGTTGGCGCGAAAAACGAATACTATCGAGCATGTCCGTGCAATGCACACGGGCTAATGCCCGTTCTCAAATATTGTCCAAAGCGATAATAAGGCTTTCGAAACTCTAAATTCGTTGAGTATGGTTGATTTTTCCTGTTTGATAGTGTACCTCATCGCTAGCTAGATGATCGCTATAACGACGAGAAGGTCCAGGCTCAACCGCGAAGTTGAATAATGTTTAAGAGGCTTCGACATATTTGGGTTTGTAAGCTTAGCTTGTGAAGTAGAAAATGGTGAGAACATGGTAGCTTTGAGTGCTTGAGGCTTTGCATTTAACCTACAAATGATGTAGTGTTAGTGGGGCATTTCATGAGTTTGGGATTTAACCTACTTAAGATTGGCCTGATCATCATTGGAAAATTAGAAATTACAACCTGCTTACTAAATTATTCCCCTGGAAGGTAAGATTCCTTCTACGAAATTATGGACCCAGGCCCCAAGAAACAGGAACATAGATATGCAGGGAAAGCTGTCCTACATTAGTATAGGCCAAATTAGGTATACGAATGTTATTATTTAGTTCTTATATAGTAACCTCGAGATGGTAGTCACCCAAGCTTCCAAGCTTCGTCCCAGAAAAAAGAAGTGCAAGTGGTAGCCCGCCAAGTTGCTCTCCTTTCTCTTCCTGTGGTCTCTAGATTGCTTATGCAAAGAGTCTTTGTCAAGATCAATTATATAAACCCTTACACGATTTAGGGTAGATAAACTCATTTATAAGTTTAAAATGGATTCGGAGCAAGTTTCCCATATGGTGAAGAGTATCAATTCAATTCAATCTTGACGATTGGCACACTAGGTTAAGGAGTTGGAAGATTTCTAGCTAGAAATTAGAAGTCGCTCTTCTAAATTCTACGGTTGCGTTCTAACTGCTCTGGATCAAGACCAGTGTCCAGGTAATTGGATCTCCATGCCCAGATCCATGGACCGTAAAATAGAGAAAAAGACAAAACCGGTTCAATAAAAAAATATGGTTTTCATTAAGATTCCCAATTGCAAGTTAATGCATGTTGATCAACATTAAGTCATAATGCATTGTTGGAAGCTAATTGACTCACTTCACAAGAACATAAAGACAACTTTCTCAAGATGTAAAAAGAGGTGAAAGATATTTGGAGAGAACTTTTCTAAAACAAGATATTTTAAACGCTCAGAGGTAGACGACTTCCATGGAAGCTAGACTTTAACCGGCTTATAGGGGTTGTAAGACACTTCACAAAGAGATAGGAACACTTGATACTTTACATGTTCTCAAATTTCTCCCCAAGTTCGCCGGAAGGAGTAAACCTCTCAATAAAGTTGGCCTTCAATGGAAAAAGCAAAGACACTTGTTTTCAGCCATGTGTATTTGCGACTATTCTAGCTCGGAGCTTCCCCAAAAGGATGATGCATTCATTTCCAAGAGAGGCAGATGTGTGCATGCACGCGCTAATATCAGCAGTGTGTGCAAGAGAACGAGTGAGTTAGATTTGAATGACTAGCAAGAGTTTTTATACATAACGACTGAGGCAACTGCTTTTCATTTGTAAAATTTCTTCTCTTGAGAAATAATATTAAAGTTCTTTATCCTTGCCCAGCCCCACCAATCTCTACATTCTACACAACAATAATGAAAAGAGGAAACGAGTTTAACCGATGATTCAGACGAGCATCATGCGCTTCACTTAGTGTTAAAGAGGAGGTATTATTTGGTCAGTGAAAGCAAAAGTTAGTCAAATTCTGATAATAATGTCTCCCTATGATATGATTCGAGACTACTTAGCATTAGAAGTCTATCACATTGAGAGCTGCAAAAGAAGAAGAGAACTAGGCAGTAGGCAGATGCAATTAGTACGCCGTTGGTTTGCTGCATTTGCTTTCCGATCGACGGGGGCGGACGGAGAATTCGAGATTGGGGGGCGACACACAAATTTTCCAATCCCCCCCTACGCCATCTGATCCCGTACTTTTTTTGTTTTTTGGAATGTATCTGATCCCGTACTTCGTAAGAACGATAATGAGAGAAGGGCATTTCTCTCCAAGGGCAGGGGTGGACCATTGTTCACCCGGAAAGAGACGAGGATAGACCATTATTGACTTGAAAATAGCCCTTCTATTTCGGAGCATTGATTATTGTTGGAGAGAATGTTGGAGGAGAGGCAGAGAAGAATTGATGAGAAATGAGTTATGCTAGGCCCATCGTATTACAAGAGAAAAAAAAACACCCTAAAGCGACAAAGTCTTTTGTGATAAAAGACGTATGGGGTCACGAATTTAACATACGACACCCCATATGTTTGCATATGAGATTGTTCGTATTTTCATGTTTTCACACGTTATACATATGAGTTCATAAATTAATGTGTGTTCTGAAATATTGGCGGACAACATCCAGAAGACGTAGAATATTTGCGGACAACCTCCAGGGACAACCTCTAGAACACATAAAATATG